CGGGTACACACAGAGCGGATCACGCAGGACTAGTAGGGCAATGTACATAGGTGTACCGTACATAATGACGGCAGGGACCTACGTATATTAAAGACCTTCCCGAGTACTACACTGCTTTCGCCATTCCATGACGAATAGAATCTCTCTCTGGATCAGGTTACGAAGCCACCTGATAAAGCTGTGATATAAATTGGTATCTATCTTCTAACATAAATAACATGGACTTAACATAATAATGATAGTATATACTAAATGTGTACAACAACGAAGAAAAAATTATTTCATCCGAAATAAATCATCTATATCTCATTCTAACATTATCTCAATGTAAGTATTGTTATGAAAATTTAATTTAGAATTGTTCTTTCAAGAAAACAAAAAAAAAGTTTTTTTTTTATCTTTCAACTATTAATTTATTTGTTCAAGTCTTTCTCAAGATAAATATGATAATTTTTGAAGCAACATACCCAATCTTGTTATTGGTATAAATCAATAATAAATCATATTCTTTTTTAACATTCTCATGTTTTTTATAATTTCATATAATTCATAAAAACATCATAGAATAAATTTCTATCATAAATCAATATATCCTAACATATATTATCATTGAAATCAAAAACATTGTAAAAAAATATGAATCATAATATAACATCATTGAATGAATGAATAAATTTCATTATAAATTAATGCATTGTAAAGCAATGAATTTAAATAACATCATTCAATAAATTTCATTCAAAACTAATACATTTTAATATATTATAATTCACTGAATATCATTGTAAATTAATACATTTTGATGGATCATAAATTGATAAATTTCATTGTAATATAATGCATCTTTATATAATATTATTCAAAAATAATCATTGTAAGTAATGAATTTAACAACATATAATTAATTACATTGTAAATTAATATATTTTTATGTAGTATCATTCAATGAATATTATGGCAAATCAATGCATTTTAACGTAACATCATATAATAAATTTCACTATAAATTGATACATTTTAATGCATCGTAAATTGTCTACATTTCATTGTAAAATAATGCATTTTTAAATAATATCATTCAATAAATATCACTGTAAATAATGAATTTAACAACATGTAATAAATTTCATTGCAAATTAATACATCTTAACATAATATGATTCAATGAATATCATTGTAAATTAATGAATTTTAACATAATATCATATAATAAATTTCATTGTAAATTAATCCATCTTAATGCATCATAAACTTATATATTTCATTTTAAAATAATGCATTCTAACACAATATCATACAATAAGTTTCACTGTAAATCAAAACATTTTAATACATCATAGAATTGATAAATTTCATTGTAATATAATGTATTTATTGAATTGTACAGAAATGAATTTTAATAACACCAATCAATAGATTTCGTTCTAAAAAAAATGCATCATTATATAATATCGAACAATAAATATCATCGGAAATTAATGTATTTTACTTCTTTGCGTCCCAAATTATTTCTGCTGGACACTGACACGCCCAGATAAAAACCAACATGCTCGCACACCTACACACCCATTTCTACTAACTCGATATCCATCACATCCACACCGTTGAACATTCTTTATTGCTACATTCCAGTAGATTACATAATAATTATTAAACATGTTTAGATTTTTTTTCTTACTATGAAATCCAAAGGGTTAACATAACATTATGTAACAAATTTCATTATAAATGTATACATTTAATACATTATAAACTCATACGTAGCATTTTAAACATATTTCATTTAAAATATTGTAAATAATTATAAATTGATAACTGTATGTCATTCATGAAAAATAATAATGTAAAATAATACTAATTATTGTAAGTAATATGAAAAATTGTAAACCGTGAAAAAAAAATCATGTGAGTGTCATGTTTTATCTTTATTGAGCATGCTCATGGTATGTTCGATCGAATCGTATGAGAATACTGGTGAAAATGTGTTTCTTATATATATGTGTTCAAACATACACTTTACCAATCAAAGACATTCTAATGATGTTGATATCAATTTGATGAACGATAATTGACGATGATGTGCACATTCAAATATAATTGATTAATCATCATATAATTAATTGAAATGATGAGACACGAATTAATTTCATCGTTTTTCATGTGCATGGATGTGGATACTTGTTCTTTGTTCATATACAGTCCTTCACGGACAACACATATTCTTTTCTTTCTTTTTTTTTGGATCAGAAGAAATTTCTATTCATCATCATTATCATTGAAAAAACAAAAGCAATTAATGTGAATCATAAATCATAGAATTATTTTTTCGTACGACTTTTGAAAATTGATTAGAGTGCATTATTCAAATAAACATATTCATTTACTTGGAAACACAAGATCAACAAGTCAGTTGAATACGACTGTACTGTCATTATCTGAAAACTCGTTAAGACAAAGTCAAATAACTGTACAGAAAATTAAAAAGTTTTCATAAAATTCGATTTCTATCCGATCGAATGAATATTTCTGTTGAAATTAAATCACTAATATCTAGTTGAAACTTTTAAACGAGTATTATTATCAATTGAAACAAAATCCTTTATTAAGAAAAAAAAATTGAAAATAAAAGTCACCTCAATACGTTTACTTGAAGATAAATTTCGATTTCACATGATTGATTTACTGATATATAATCAATTTTTCAGTTGAATATTGATGGTAGTAAATAAAATATACATATATGATTCAATCTGAACAAACACTATCAGTAGCACATGACTTATTTTCTGTCAAAAACCAATTTTTGTTTTCGTCGATATTATTATTTTTATTGTACTCAAAAAATACCTAAGGAGCGAGCTCTTACCGTTCGTTTCCTGTGAAAATACTTTTGACTTCAAAAATCAAGAAATATTCTCTCAAAATGTTTTGTCGATACATGGGATTAGTAGATGAAAGTTCTACAATTGAAAACTTCTTTGCTGCTAAACTGAAAGAGGAATGATTTTCTTTAGAAAAACAATTTAAAATTAAGGAGTTGGTTTTTACTTTTGAATAAGTAATATTGTTATTCATCCATCAGATATATTAATCCGATCATAGGGTTTCCATCATGTCGTTTGTTCTTGTTCATATGTAATTATTGTTGATGGATATGAAGCAACAGATCAATTTTAAAATTTTCTTTTTTTTCCTAGTAAATAAGAGTTTTTACTGTCTACCTTGTTTTTCTATTATTAATAAATGATTACTCAAGTTTTTACACAAAAAATGAAAAAAAACACCTTAATGTTGTTTTTTTCAGATCCATGTAAATGAATAAAATTTCATATTCCAAATGAAAATCATTTTTTTTATATATTTAAATAAATTAACGATGGAATTAAGTATAGTTAAATTAGTCATTTAGAAAAATTCATATAAACAATCATTTAACTTAGACTATTATCCCTTCATATAATACTATAAGTGATTAGCTTTTGGCTCTTGAGACCTAGCATCGTTGACAATTTTCTTACAAATATGAACTAACTTCCGGCTAGCGTCGAGTTTGTTACACCAGTTAGAATTTCATTTAATTACGTTAGCGGTTGCCATATCATTCTTGCAGGTCAATAATCAACAGCAGGAAAGAAAACTTCTATTGATTTTGAAGAAACCAGAAAAAAATTATATCATAAAACAAAAAAAAAAGAAATCTTGATTACATATTACTTTCGTCTGTTATAAATATAATCGATTGACTACATGGATATCCTTTATCAATAGAATCTAATGAATCACAACGAATTCTAGCAAATGTTCCATTTATTGAATCAATTTCAATATTTGCTGGTGATAAATTATTAAAGAATAATTCTATTTTCAATGATTGAATTCTATTCGTTGGTTGTAACGGACGAGAATATTTCATCTTAAAGAACTTTGTCAGAACAGATAACAAACGTTCAATAGATAAAGTCATCTACACCATTTTCTAGAGCAACTCGTGACGTATCAAGTAGTAATATTCTGCACAGCCATATACCAGTTATGGAACGTTATAGGAGCTGTAGATAATATGAACGGTTATTAGGATGACTGAGTAATTTAAAATTTTTTGATGCTGCTCCTGAAGGCAAAGGTGACTAGCATTAAAACTTTATACAACGAAACTCTAAAAGAACATCTATGAACTATCGTCTGAATTGAAACTCGTAGGAAAGCACGAAGACATGAAAGATTTTTTTATTCTAATAGAAGAGTAGAGACCTTGATAATATGAAGTTTTATGATTGGTCACTTTTATCCTTAGTAACAGCATTCAAGAATTTAAAAACTTCATTAAAACCAAAAATTAAAGATCTCAGTAAAAATATTAAGATTTTGAACAGGAAAAAAGCTATTTGTCAAAATTATTAGATATACACGATTGAAAAACTATATAAGATATCTATTTTATATATCTGAACTGGTCAAGTGTGATTGGAAAGTTTTTATACGACATGTTTGTTCATTTTTATCCCACTAGAAAGGATTTCCAACGAGACACTCTTGCCAAATATGAACTTAGAAATTTCATTTCAATTTTTACATTTTCACTATTATAATTCGAACCTAAACGTTGGAATCGTTATTTAGATGTTACCTTGTAATCTACTTTTTGACTGAAAATCGTGTTATGTTGAAAGCATCTATTCTACAAAAACGGTAGCGATGGTCAACTAACATTTGTATTTGATAAAGTCTATTATGAAAAAATATTATTGATTGTTCAATAATTATGAAAAGACTAGAAAATATTTAATTGAAATTTTTTCTTTTAGTTTTAAGAAAATTATTTTCTTATTTACTTGAATATTTTGCCTATTGTAAATAATAACATCTCATTTGGATTTAAACAATATATCGTAAAATTTTTTTTTCTACTAGTATAACTAGGTGGAAATTTTGTTGCTACAGAACGTTTTTAAATTAAAGTCTTTTCTAATTTTTGCTAATAAATTACTCATTTTTTTGGTATGTTTTTAAAAGATCAAGCAAATGAAAGCTCGAAAACTCCTTATGAAATTGGATCGTCTTCACCTTCGTCAAGTGAATCGTGTTCAGAATCAGCCAAAGATTTAATAACACAATTAACAGTTGAACATGTTAAAAACTGGCTTCGACAAACAAGATTTCATCATTTAGCTGCAACATGGTTTACAATCAACGTCAATGGCAAAGAATTGCTTCAGATAAGCAAGACGGGAAGTTTAACAAATGATACATCCATGTTATCTAGATATGAATTAATACAGTTTAAAGATATTTTAAATCGTTTTGGTTTTAAACTAGAACTTGAATGATATTCTTTTTTAGACAATATCAATGTTGATAGAAATGAAAACTGTTGTATCTTTGTTTGTATTTGATCTAAAATAAAGACAACCAACATTTGATTCTATTTTAAGTTGTTTAACTAATGAAAGGTAGAGAGATTATTTTCATTCCATATTTCTTCCTCGATGTTCGTATAACTTTGTATATGATTACAAAGATATCTCATATACGTCGGTAAAGTTAGTACTATATGTGACTTTTTTTGTCCGGATTCGCTATATAACTTTGGTTATTCCTAAAATCCCTTGGGTTAAGTGTAGAATTTAATTCTGCGTCGAATGGTACTAGTTTCAAGAAGGAGTTGCCGGTCGAAAATACCCCATTTCCTTCAAAATACTGATTTGTCCAGGTAATTTCCAAGGTATTCCCTGTTCGGATTCGCTATACTAGTTGGGTTATTTTTAAAACCACTTGGGATAGGTGCAGAATTCAATTCTGCATAAAATGATATCATTTTCAGTAAGTGTCATTGAGCAAAAGGTGTCACTTCTACCACAAACACTAGTTTTTCCAGGGTGTGGATGTGGGTGTGAGATACTCCTTTCTAGACTCACAACTACACGCACCCGCCCACACCCTGATCATTTATTATTTGTATGGTTTTATTTTATTGATGACAGTTTTTCGATACCAATATTCATATTGTCTTGCTAATAAATAGGGTGTGGGTGTGAATGTGTAGGTGTGAATGAATTTTTTCTTTATCCACACCCACACAGCAACATCCTCGTTTATTAAGTGGAAAAGTTTTCGTCTGTCAAGTTTGATGATTAAAAGATGAAAGCTTCATTAAACAACTTTCTCATATTAGCACAGTAACTGTCTTATTGATATTCAACAATGTTTCAAGCATGTTTCTTGGAGCATCTTTGACACGAGTTAACGATAAATCAAGATGTGTGAGTGTCTTTAAGAAAACAAAAAATGTAGAATAAAAGACATAAAAATCGATGTTGTCTTACAGAATTAGTTAATAGAGCGTTTGTCAAGCTTTGCACCAGAGATGAGCGAGCCGCGGTTTCACACCGCACCGCCCCGCCCCGTCCCGCCCCACCGGCGGGGCGGTGCAGAAACTTGACGGGGCGGGGCGGTGACGCTGCGTCGCAAGATCTTGCGGTTTCCCCGCCCCTTGGCAATATTGAGTTTTTTTTAACATTTTTCTTAAATGTTTATTTTTTTTCTATTTCGAAATTTAATCTTTATATACAGGGTGGCCTATAAATAATAGCATAACGACAAGAAGTTTAAATATTTCTACTTCTGGTCATTCAAAAGGATTCAATTTTTTTCATTCGGATAATGTAAATAAATCCAACTGTTAAGTGTTTCAATTGACGTCAACAAAACAACTTTACTAGTTGTCAAGTAAAAAAATACATATGAAATATTATGTAGATGACTTTTAGTTGTCGTTTGACAGAATGACTTGAAAAAATTCAAATAAATCTGCTGAATGATACTATATGGATGACATTGAGAGAAATTTCTCAACCAGTCAATTTGAAAGTTAGCAATTACAATGTTTCGAAGTCTCAGACGTGGAACACTGATTTTTGTTGAAAACTTGCCAACTGGGTAACTAAAGGCTTTCAGATACGCGTTTTAGTTATCAAGCACTAGTTCCAGTATTCAAAGTAGCTACTCCAGAAAGTTTTCTATATGTACATCAATGTAGTATCGTTTAGAAGATTTGTTTGAATTTTTTCAAGTCATTCTGTCAAATGATAACTAAAAATCATCTACACAATATTTCATATGTGGTTTTTTTACTTGATAACTAGTGAAGTTGCTTTGTTGACGTCAACTGAAATACTTAACAGTTTGATTTACTTACATTATTCAAACGGAAAAAAATTGAGGAGAGTTCTGTTACCAACCAAAAAATGAGCCCATTTGCATGAACAGAAGTAGAGCCATTTAAATTTCTTATTGTCATGTCATTATATGTAAGTCACCCTGTATTTAAATTATGCCTTTTTATCTCAGGAAGTATAATAGTAATTATGAAAAGTTACTAAAAATTTCATGAATAAATGACTTCTGACGACAGACTTTAGACGGGGCGGGGCGGGGCGGTGACGGTTTTATTGTTGAATAGGCGGGACGGTGACGGTGCGAAACTTTATCAACGGGACGGGACGGGGCGGTGGCGGTGTGACTTTTTGGCTGGCTCGCTCATCTCTGCTTTGCACGTCTTGACTTATGAAATCAATTCCTCTAAAATGCAATGTTTTCAATATCTTAATAGAACAATAAAACTATGAATGAGAAATTTTAAAGTGTAATCAATCGCACCGAATTTTTTTGTAATGCATTCGCCAAAGATTGAATACCCATACTTTGTATTGAATTCCAGCTAAGATTTAACTCAGAAAAATTCTGAAGGAAAAGATAAATTTTAATATCAGATAAACCAGAAAGAACATTTTAATACGGAATTATTCTTTAGTGCGTTCGCAATGTGTTGTGCACCTTCATCTTCAATATCATTCTGTTCAACATTCAACATTGTCAGAGTCTACAAAAGGAAAATTTACAATAGAATTTTTGAAGAACAAAATTATACCGAATTTTTCTGAAATATATCAATCAAGTATCGAGCACCTTGATCACCAATTTTATTCCAACCAAGATTCAGAGATGTAAGCGTCTGTAATAAAGTTAATGTGTATAAATATAGAATAGCTTGATAGTTAACTAATCTCACAGTATTGTATTTTAACGCATTCGTAAGATATTTTACACCTTCCGCACCAATTTCATTCCAACCAATATTTAATGCTGTTAATGTCTACATTAGAAGAAATGTATAAGACATACGAGATGGATGCATGACTTGCTTGCTGTTTTGAATTATTCTCTAATAGATTCGCTATATGTTTTGCACCATTGACACCGATTTCATTGTCACAAAGATTCAGAGTTTTGATTCCCTAGTTTCAGCAATAGAGATAATATTGATCAGTATTCTTTTTTACTTTGTTTTTTAGCAATGCATTTGCTAGATGCTCAATACCAGTGGCTCCGATTTTATTTTCAGAAAGATCCAATGTCGTAAGTGTCTATAAGTAGGATATGTTGAAACAATAAATAGTAAACCTATGAAAAAACACTCGGTAGAGATAGAGTAGAAATAAATTTTCTACTCTATACACTTTAACACTCCTTTCAGATCGTGTTTCACAAAACTGTTTCTTACCGAATTACACAACAATGCAATTGCTAAAAGTTCTGCACCTCTATTATTAATGTCATTCCTTTGAAGGTGAAGTTCTGTAAGCGTCTATGGAGAAAAATCAGATAAATCATAAACTAAATCCATAAATTTTCTTTTACTGTGTTCTTTTGCAACGCATCTGCTAAGTACTGAATGCCTTCATCGGTGATTTCATTCCAACCAATACTCAATATTTTGAGTGTCTAGTCCGCACAATAATGATTGATAAGAAGTTCATCAGTAAAAAAAAATTCTATTACTATATTGTTTTTTAATGCACTTGCAATAATTTCAGCGCCTTCTCTCCGTATCTTGTTATGCGAAATGTCCAATGTTGTCAATGTCTGTATCAAGAAGATTCAAGTGAGAATAACATAAATCGAATAGCCAGAATCAAAGAGAGAATCTCACCTGATTACTTTGTAGTGCTTCCATCAAATTCGAAATATCGTTTGTACCAATATGATTGATACCAAGGTCCAATATTTTAAGTGTCTGTGTTAAGCAATAGAGAAAAATATACTGTGAAGAATATGATGGATTATCCAACTGTATTTTTCTTTAATGCATTTGATAAATAAAGAACACTGCGGAGTTTTACATATTTACTCGCACGGACCAAAGGCTTGTAAAATAATACATATGAAGAAAAACCACTCCAGGGACGATTAATTTGTGCCAAATTAAAACCGATCTCATTCTTTCGAAGGCTTAATGTTGTGAGCGTCTGTATGTAGGACGAATAAAGTGGTTGAAAATTTAATAGAAAACAGGAAATTTATCTCACTGTGTTATTCTCTAGCATATTTGCTATAATTTTTATATCGCTGTCATCAATGTTGTTGCTTGAAAGGTTCAGGGTCGTGATTTGCTATAAAGAAGGATCAAAATGAATTGAAAATACATCGAAGTTAGAAGGAATCTTACTGGATTACGCGGTAAGACACAATCGAGTTGTTGCAAACTGAATTTATCCAATTGTTTATTATGAACATTAAGGGCGGTGAGTGACTGAATAAAAAGACAAACAAAATAGAACATATTTAGCTTTTTTTGATATAAAACAAGAAGTTTTTCCTTCTCTTCTTGTGCGCAAGGATTATAAAACCAAAATGAAAAAACAAGAAACTCAATAAAATTTATAATAGTAGGATTGTAATTAAAACAATTATTCGAAAAATTTCTCAATACATATGACGATAATAATCATTCATTATTTGTTGATGTTCATCAATCGTATAGCAATCTTTATAATTTCACGAAGAAAATTTTGGATGCATTTTTCTGAATCAATGCATTATGATCGACGACCGTAAGTTATTCACCAGTACTGAAAGTAATGATTAAATGGGATTATTTTTACGATTTTTAAAGGAATATGAATATTTTATAATAAAAAAAACAACTCTGCAGATTGCGGAACTTTTTTGAAACTTTTCTCAATATGCTTGAGACTTTCCTTGAGTGGTTTCATAGTAATGTCTTGTCCAATCTAGAAGTATGATTCCAATTGAACTTTCATTTTTCTTCATAAAGTTGTTTTATGAAGTAAACTCAAGCAAAATTCTAATATATGAGTGAATAATGAATAAGAAGAACAAAAGATTTGACATTGGCTGAAACATTTGAAGATTTCAGTAATCTTTACCCTTCTATCCATATAAGAGGAATTTCGCTTTTTCTGTTTTGCATCTTTATAATGATTAATTATCATGTGTACATATGATACTATTTAGTCAAATTATTGAT